AGACCATGCAATACTGTTCTTTCTGTGTGGCTTATTTATTTCACTTAGCATAATGTCTTCCAGGTTCATCCACATTGTCACAAATAGTAGGATTTCCTTCTTTATTAAGGTGAATAATATCCCATTTATTCCAATAATGGAATCATATTCCATTATTCCATTCCAATACACACACACACCCAAACCACACTTTATCTGTTTATCACTCAACAGACACTTAGATTGCTTCCACATCTTGGCTATTGTAAATAATCTTGCAATGAGAGTGAAAGGGCAGATACCCAGAGATGGTGATTTTATTTTCTTTGGATATACACCCATAACTGGGACTGCCAGATTACATGGTAGTTTATCTTTAGTTTTTGATGAACCTCCATAATATTTTCCAAAATGGTTGTAAAAATTGAGATTCCAACCAATGGTGTACAAGGGTCCCATTTTCTCCAGATCCTTGCTAATACTTGTTATCTTTGGACTTTATAGCCATCCTAACAGATATGAGGTAATAGAACACTGTGGTTTTGAATTGCATTTCCCTGCTGGTTAGTCATGTTGAGCATCTTTTCACATACCTTTTGACCATTTGTATATCTTCTTTGGAAAAATGTCTATTCAGGTCCTTCACTCATTTCTAAATTGGGTCATAAGATTTCCTTTTATGTCTTGAATATTAACCCTTTATCAGATACATATGGTTTGCATATATTTTACTCCCATTTTGTAGACTGCCTTTTCATTTTGTTGATTGCTTCCTTTGCTGTGCAGAAACTTTTTACTTTGATGTAGCTCCACTTGCTTATTTTTGTTTTAGCTGCCTGTGCTTTTGGTGTAAAATCGAAATAATTATTGCCAGAACCAATGTCAAGGAGCTTTTCTCTGTAAAGTTTCGGGTCTTACATGTAAGTTTTTAATTCATTTTGAGTTGACTTTGTGATTGGTGGAAAAGCAGGGTCCAGTTTCATTCTTTTGCATGTGAGTATTCAGTTTTCCAAACACCATTTGTTGAAGAGACTACTTATTCCCCATTTTTGTATACTTGGTGCCATTTTTAAAAATTAGTTGACTGTATGTATGTGGGATAATTTCTGGGCTCTCTAGCCTATTCTACTGGTCTGTCTGTTTTTAATGCCAATACCATACTGTTTTGATTGTTATAGCTTTGTAATATAATTTGAAATCAGAAAATTTGATGCCTCCAATTTGGTTCTTGCTCAAGATTGCTTTAGCTATTTGGGGCATTTTGTGGTTTCATACTCTGCAAGATATTGTAAAGAACAGAAAAAAATCAAGCCATAACATGGAAGAAATTAGTTTCAAAATATAGAATGTTATAATTAAAAAACATAATTTTACTGTATGTAAATTAAACTACTTTAGTAAACAACAACAACAAAAATCCTGTACCAGATGCATGTAAGTGGCCATGTCACATGCCTAACTCCCCACACCAGGACCTGTCAAGTGCTTGCTTGGTGTCTTTGTTCATTCTATACCAGACCAGACCTCTGATGCCACCTTGGGAGTCAAAAAAGCTCAAAGGAACTCCTACTGATTACTGCAACAGCATGTGCAGGGAACTGACTGTGTCCAAGGACAGCATTTAGCTAAGGACAGAAACTAGTGGATAAATACTTAATCTTCTATCCCGATGGAGCCTTCTAAGGGACATTCCCTATGGTTCCTTGGAGTGTTTCCACAGAGGCCGAGGCCACAACCCACAGTGATAAAACGCTCCATAACTCTCTTTTGGACTAGGTTTCTCTTGTTCTGTTTCACTCATCCCAGTCCCCCAACTCCTCTTCCCTGAGAGTTTCTTCCAACATAAACTACCTGCACTCAAGCCATGTCTCAGGGTCTAGGGGAATTCATGCAATGTTATCCTTCACAATGGCTGGTTCAACATTTCACTACAGCAGAAGCCAGACTCCTTACAATGGCCTGTGATACTCTGATATTAGAGATATGTATTTTTGTCTCTGTCCATGGTTCCTTGCACTTAGCTCCTAAAATTGTTGGAATCTCCAGTGACGAGTCTTTTGTATGCTAAAGACATATCTAGGAGCCCACACCTCCTAGATAGCAGGAGGGAGGTAATAGTGGCACTGGTACCAAGAATGGCCAAGAGGTGATTAGAGTGTAGGGATTTTCAGCCCCACTCCCAACCTCTGGGGAGAGGAGAGGGGCTGAAGATTGAGTTGATTACTGATGGCCAATGCTGTAATCAATCGTGACTACTATTGAAAACTCCATAAAAACCTAAAGGACTGGGTTCAGGCTTCCTAATAGCTGAATATGTGAAAATTCCTGAATGGTGGCACACCCAGAGAGGGTCACAGTAAATTCAATGCTCCTCCCCATATGCCTGGCCCTATGCATCTCCTCTACCGGGCCTTTCATTAACATCCTTTGTAATACATAGGTAAATGTGAATGAAGTGTTTTGAGTTCTGTGAGCTGCTCTAGTACCTGAGAAGGCAGTCATGTGAACCCTGACTTATAGCTGGTTGGCGAGAAGCACAGGTCACATGCCTGGAGCTTGTGGCTGACATCTGAAGTGGGGGCGGACTCATGGGGCTGAGCCTTTCACCTGTGGGATCTGAGGCTACCTCCAGGTAGATAATATCAGAACTGAATCGAATTAAGAGGTCACACAATTGGTCTGCTGGAGAATCTGGTGTCAGAAGCATTGTCCTGAGTTTGAGAGGACCCTTAGCAAGGCCCCACATGATCCCTCCTTCATGACTGGTTTTGTTACTCTCCCCTTATTTATTCTGCTCTGGCCACGCTGGCCTGTGTGCTGTCCTGGAACACCTTTAGGACCACCCTGCACCACTGGCATCTGCATGGTAACTTTCTCAGGTTGAAGTATTCTCTAGCTATCCATGTCGCTTATGCCCGCATCTTCTTTGAAGTTTCTCTCAAATACGTCTTATAGAAGCTTACCTGATTGCTTCATGTAAAACTAAAATCTGTCCTTCCTAACCCCCTCCATGCAACCGGTGCAGCTTTATTCTTCCCACAATGATATGGGGTACTTTATGGCAAGGTTTAGAAAATATTTGTTTCTTTTAACTCAGTTGCAGTTTCTTAAAAGTCCCTTATGGTAACTTGGTTTTGGTGACTTACCTGTGAGGGATTGAGGAGTACTGTGTTTACCCCCTGGCTTCATCACAAACTAAGGGTCCCAGACAATGCACTGATGCTCTGAGGCGGAATGTCTTTAATGCTTTAAAATGGGTCATACACAGATGATTATGGAAACCCTTCATGAGCCATGATGCTGGGATTCTGTACGGTTAGGGTAAACTCAACAGTGCCACACGTGTGACGGCAGTGCAGTATCTGTAGAGTGGAGAAGGGACTGGAGACTATTTTGGGATTGTGGGGACAGAATCTCCATCCTCTGCCTCATAACCCCTACCCCAGCCTTTTCTTTACAAGCTCTGGAGTGCAGAGGCCCTTCCAGAGCAGCCTGCCCTGGGCCTCCTCAGCTTACTTTACTCTTTTCAAAGCTGGTCCAAACCTCCCAGTCACCCTGTCTGTGGGGGCTGCTGGAGGGGGTGTCACCTGCAAGTTTGGGTCATTCTGGGAAGGAGGATCAAGGACTGGTTCTGACCATTCAAACCGAGGATCTGTTCCTTTCTAGACACTTTGGTGAGTGTTCTAAAGCTCTGTGAGAGGACAAAAATCAGAAGTGCTCTATCCGAGGTTAAGACTCCTGTTTCCAGAGATTCCCTGCTTCTAGCAGCCCGCACCGAGCACCTGCTCCCGACCGGCGCTCAGCCCCCACCGGCCGCCTCAGCCCTCACACCAGCGCCAGGAGGGAGCGCTCCGGGCGTTTCCCGGACTTCCCGCCCGGACCATCCCGGGTGGTCCCCAGGCCTCATGGATCCCGCGTCCCTCCGCCTTCGAATCCCAGTGCCAACACTCCGCACCCAAGTGGACACACTCGCGAACACGAGAGACACGTAGAGGGCGGTGGAGTTAGAGGTGCGCATGCGCAGAAGCAGCCCCGAGGCCGTCTTCCGAAGGCTGTGCGCGCGCCCCCGCCATTCAAGACTACATTTCCCATGAACACCCGCGCCCCAGCGGGCGGTGACCTTTCCAGCTCTTTTGCACTTTTGTACACCTCCGAAGAGGAATATTTTATTTAAAAAGAGAAAAAATTGAGTAATTTTAAAATGTGAATGTTTTAAAAAGGTAGGAAATGGTGTGTAGAAATGTTCTAGGTTTAAGGAGATTGAAAAGACGTGAACAAAATACAACACCTGATCTTAGACTACTAGTATAGAATGAAAAAAAGCTGTAAAAAGGACATTATTAGGTCATTTTACAAAGCTAGAATGCTAACAGTACGATAAATAGAAGTGTAGAATCAATGTTAAAATTGCCAAAATTGTTAGCATCTATGGTTATGGAAGAGAATATTGTGGTTCTGCACACTGAGTAGGCGTAATGCCCGTGACGTACGCACTCACATAAGGCCAGAATAGAACCATGTATGTGTCTAGATGTCGGGTGTTTACACACATACTGCCAGTTAGAGACTGAACAAATGTTAGGTAATGCAAACAAGGCAAAATATTAACAATAGGTGAATCTGGGTATTCGTTATACCATTTTTTTTTTTTTTTTTTTGAGACTTTTCTGTAAGTTTGAAATGATTTCAAACAAGAAACTTAAACAAGAAGAGAGTTCCCCTAGATTGTATTCTCTCACGGTCACTGTAATGTCAATGTTGCAAATAGCAGTAACCAATATAAGGCTTTCTCTGCTGCCTGAATTGGAATTGACTTCTTTAACCTTCCCTGGCTTATTAGAGATTGGGGAGACAATTCTATCTCATGCTAAGAAATCGCTGTCAGTCTTTCAAATTTCTCCAAACATAAAACATAAAACTCTCAGGAAAGATGCGTGCTGGCCGGCCCGGCGAGGAGGCGGGACACGTCGCTGCCACCGCGGCTGCTGCTTGCTGCCTCTCCTCCTGTTCCAGCTGCCGCCGCCGCCGCCGCCGCCGCCGCCGCCGCTTCCTGGGCTGAGGCTGCCCGGGGTCCGGGCTGCGCCAGGTGCGTTCACTGTGCCCGGCTTCAGCCAGCGTCCACCGCCGCTGTAGCTTTCCCGGGCTCCCCGCCCCGCTGCCGAGATGGCGACGCGCTCCTGCAGGGAAAAGGCTCAGAAGCTGAACGAACAGCATCAGCTCATCCTCTCCAAGCTTCTGAGAGAGGAGGACAAGTACTGCGCCGACTGCGAGGCCAAAAGTCCTCGATGGGCTTCCTGGAATATTGGTGTGTTTATTTGCATCAAATGTGCTGGAATTCATAGAAATCTTGGGGTTCATATATCCAGGGTCAAATCAGTCAACCTAGACCAACCTAGAACAGCTACAGTGCATGCAAGATATGGGAAATACTAAAGCAAGACTACTCTACGAAGCCAATCTTCCAGAGAACTTTCGAAGACCACAGATCAAGCAGTGGAATTTTTCATCAGAGATAAATATGAAAAGAAGAAATACTACGATAAAAATGCTATAGCTATTCCAAATCTAAAGAAGAAAGAAGATCAGCAACTGGAGCCTAAAAAAAGTAGCAACCCTAAAAAACTGTGGAGCCCACTGTGGATCTTTCAGGACTTGATGGCCCTGCTGCAGCACCAGTGACTAATGGGAACACCACAGTGCCAGCCCTCAATGATGATCTGGACATCTTTGGACCGATGATTTCTAATCCCTTACCTGCAACTGTCATGCCCCCAGCTCAGGGGACATCCTCTGCATCAGCAGCTGCAAGCCTGTCTACAGTAACATCTGGGGATCTGGATCTATTCACTGAGCAGACTACAAAATCAGAAGAAGTGGCAAAGAAACAACTTTCCAAAGACTCCATCTTATCTCTGTATAGCGCAGGAACCATTCAACAGTAAAGTACTCCTGGTGTGTTTATGGGACCCACAAATATACCATTTACCTCACAAGGACCAGCTGCATTTCAGGGTTTTCCATCGATGGGTGTACCTGTGGCTGCAGCTCCTGGCCCTATAGGAAACGTGATGGGGCAGAGTCCAAGCACGGTGGGCATGCCCATGCCCAATGGGTTTATGGGAAATGCACAAACTGGTGTGATGCCACTTCCTCAAAACGTTCTTGGCCCCCAAGGAGGAATGGTGGGACAAATGGGTGCACCCCAGAATAAGTTTGGCCTGCCGCAAGCTCAGCAGCCCCAGTGGAGCCTCTCACAGATGAATCAACAAACGGCTGGCATGAGTATCAGTAGTGCAACCCCTACTCCGGGTTTTGGCCAGCACCCCAGCATAACAGCAGGATGGTCTGGAAGCTCATCAGGTCAGACTCTCAGCACACAACTATGGAAACGCAAACTGCGATACAAGTTTCATCCAGAACTACCACCTGACATTTCTTGCTAAAATGCATCTAGTTCCCCTGTTTTTTCATATACATTTTTTTTTTCTTTTTGCCCATTTGTTCATATTAAGAATGATCTGATTGACCGTGTTGGTCTGTACTGATTAAATTTGATGTGGTGAAAAGCAGGTTGATAAACCATTTTAATGTAAAGGGCGGCTTTGTTCATATTTCCCATGATTTCATATACTGCATTATTTGAGAAGCTGCTCAGTCAACTTACAAAATCAGTTTTCCTCTCAATAAAATTATAGCTCTAGTGTTTACATATAAGGGAAGTAGTTATCATGTTAGTAATACCTCTAACACTATAAACCCCATCCCCAAATTAGCCAGTAATCCTGTAGGAAGGTACTGTATGATCAAATGTTTAATCATATAAATAGAATGTCAATGTCTCACTGAGCACTGTTTTCTAGTGTATCAAAAATTCTTTTATTTCATCATTCACTTCACTGTGCTGTTGTTATGATGTGCTTAACAGGGAATGTGGTTAGTGAGAGGAAGATAAACCTGGATGTTACTCCGAAACTTAGTTTAATGACTGTTTAAAGAACTCAAATTTTATCTGCCTTTCTTGTAATCTGGATCTCTTCTTAATGTACATGTGCTAACGTGAAGACCTTTTTCTGCTCTATATGCAAATAGGGTAACTAAAACTAAGCCACTTTGAATCCTTGAAGGTATATCCAGGTTTATGACAGTAATTGTGTTTACATTTTATGGTGCCTAGTATTGATAAAATGTTATTTCCCTATATTAAACAGACGAATCCACTAAAAAAAAACCTTCAGGATCTATAGATCTATATGTCAGCTCAGCATACAGCATCAAGGCCGAGTTTTTGGATGCATTGTAGACAAAGAATTTTTCTGCATTTTAAAAATGGTTGGAAGACATTGTCAGTGAACCTTAGAAATGTGGACATTAATTAAGGAAAATTAAATTTACTCTTGTCATTTATGAAAATAATGCTGGGGTTATGTTGGAAAATTTGCTAATGTTTGACGGTCATGCCTATTGAAGTATTTATGATAAAAACTGTATAATCTGCAACTCTACAAATTTCCAACCAAAACAAGTAAGCAAATGAAACAGGACAAAGTGTTAAAAATTTTCTGTTTGAAGATTGGGTGCAACTTTTTTGAAAAGAATATAAAAGAAAAAATTAGATAATTAACACAATTTTTAAGGTGCTTAATTTTCTAATAAAAACTAGGCTTTTTAGGCTAAAATAGCCACCTTTTCTATATGTATATATGTATGTATGTGTGTATATATAAAATTTTCATATAAATTCATATATATGCTGAATTTTCCTCCCGCAGCATTCCTTTAAAACTCAAAACAGCCAAAAGAAGTCAAGGTACACATCCCTTGGGAATACAACTGTGATATGTAAATTGTAGAGCAATCAAAACTCTACCTCCCCACCTCTCAGGGTTCCAGCTAGGCCTAAGAATCAACTTGACATAAAATAAATCATCAGGAGAAAAACCACACAAGTTAAATATGTTACATGTGACATTAGAACCCTCAGAAGGAGCTGACCCAAAGAGGTGGTAGAACTTACATGCTTTTGTATTAGGCTGAACAAAGAGAGGTAAATGAGGAAAAGTAATTATGTATACTGGGAACCTAAAGGAAGATAGGTGTTATTTTAACAAGGTCTGTTTTTACAGAATGTTCTGAAGCTATAAATACCCATCAAAGAATGTTCCTTTTCTCCTGGTACAGTGGGGGAATCTTTCATGTGGCAATTCCAATCTTCCTTCCCCAAGAAGAAAAGGAGAGATCAGAATGCCTTTCTTTTATTTTTTTTAGAAACAGGATCTCACTCTCTTGCCCAGGCTTTGGAGTTCAGTGACCTGATCATTGTCCACTGCAACCTCGAACTCCTGGGCTCAGGTGATCCTCGTGCCTCAGCATCCCCACCAGCTGTGACCACAGGTGTGCACCAGAATGCTCCTCTTGCATCTGCAGCTTTGCAAGTGCCTTTAGCATGAAGTAATTGTTACGCCAAAGTGGCATATGTTGGGGTGGCATATCCTGGCGCCCTTCAAAATAAAATGGTAGAAAACGGAGCACAGCATTACTGTATAACAACTGTATATATGACCACTGCGTTTACTTCAAGAAAAACAAGAAAAGAAGACACCTTTTCAAAAATACAGAATACACAAAAATACAACACAAAGTAAGAAAATGGTTATCATGCAAATCACGCATCTCTCACACACGAACATAATATTATGGAAGCATCATTTTACTACGTCACATACATTGAGCGTGTTTTTTGGTCAATATTATTTTACAATATCTATCCATTCTTCTATGAAATGAGATTTAAAAATGAAATCCTATTCACAGGTGGCAGGGGGAGGGGGGATGAGGAGGGACAGAATCAACAAAAAGTTAGTGCGATCCATGTGAGCACAGGTGCAAAGCTTCGCTCCTCAGCGACTTTCCTAACCCACGCTGGTCCCTGTCCTCCTGGGGATCCGATCCCAAAGCCCCAGAGCCCAGCTTGGGCAGGCTGTGGGTGGGCCCGAGCTGCTGCTGCAGACTCCAGGCTTCCCCAGCGGCGTGCCCCAAGCCCTGTCTGGGGAATATCTGGTTGAGTCCCCCCGCCTCGCTAAACCCCGGTGAGTTGGGTCTACTGGGTGACTCAGCGGCTTGCTCCCGGGACCAGCATGAATGAATCTCCATCTACCCTAGCTGGCAACCAGGTCCTCAGTGTTGGTCAATTCCCAGGGGTAGCGGATTTGTCTTCTTATTTGGACTGAATTTCCTGTCGTTGCACAAATGGACCCTATTCCGTATCCTGTAGGCTTCCTTTGGGCAAGACAAAAATCAGACAAACAAAACCAGAGACACCCAAATCAAACAACACAAAACACAAGTTGATAGGTCTGACGTATCCTTTTTTTAAATTATTAACTACAATTTTGTCTGTAAAAATCCTTGAACCTTTAATGCAAAAGCTGACTGTGACAGTAGTGACAGAGCAATAAACTGGCAGCACAGCCTTATTTCTCTCTTTTATGCAAACAGGATGTACTTCATGTGAAGCTGTGGAAAATCACAAGCAAACTGTACAAGTTGGCATTTCTGATCCCCCTTAAGTTCGGTGTTGAGCAAGGCTGTTAAATAAGGCTTATCAGTCCTTAAGCACTTAAAAGAGTTTATCCTGTTTATTTTATGTAGGTGCATGCAAACACTTTTTTTTTTTGGAGATGGAGTTTCATTCTGTCACCCAGGCTGGAGTACAGTGGTGCAATCTCAATTCACTGCAGGCTCCACCTCCCAGGTTCAAGTGATTCTCCTGTCTCAGCCTCCCTAGTAGCTGGGATTACAGGTGCACACCACCATACCTAGCTCATTTTTTGTAGTTCTAGTAGAGACAGAGTTTCGCCATGTTGGCTAGGCTGGTCTTGAGCTCCTGACTTCAGATAGTCTACCCTCCTCAGCCTCCTAAAGTGCTGGGATTACAGGTGTGAGCCACCATGCCCAGACAAAAACTTTAAATTATCAAGGTATTAGTTCTAACAGGCTTTTTTTTGTATGTGGAATTTTTAGGGTTTTCTACAGATGAAATTCTATCATCCGTAAACAGAGATAATTTTACTTCTTTCTTTCCAATGTAGATGCCTTGTTTTTCTTGTCTAATTGCCCTGGCTAAAACTTCCAGGACTATGTTGACTAGAAATGACAGAAGTGAGCATCCTTGTCTTGTTACTGATGTTCGAGGAAAAGCTTTCTATTTTTCACCACTGGGCGTGATGTTTGCTGCAGTCTTTTCGTATCTGGCTTTTTATTATATGGAGGTGGTTTTGAAGCCTGATCATGTTAAACATCCCTTACTTTTTATTGTGTCCAATTATGTAATTATTATTGGAATTATTATTACGTAAATTATTATTTGAAGCCTTCTGGAGTCTGCTTTCACACTCCCAATAAGCCAGGATGTTTACAAGAGATGCTACTTGTTTACAAACTATGTTTTACATCAACATGTTTACAACTTTAAGGTAATTTCCAGTTTAAACCTATAGCAGGTACTTACCTTCTATGAACCCGGTAGCTTACATTTGAGTCAGAAGCTGCTTACATAAACATGTCCACAAGTCTAAGGATAAAATCAAGATGACTTATTAGTTACTTCTTTTTTCTTATGCAGTGCTGCTGAACAGTAACACACAACAAGGAAACAACTCAGGGTCAGATATGCATTACATAGTTTGTGTCCGCCACTTCCCAGCCTCTTCACTGCCTGCAGGATCCACACTCATCCAACTCCCCACTCACTGGGGAGGCCACAGGGGCTCACTGTCATTCAGTCCCTGCTGCCCTCTGATCCTGGTTCAAAGCATTTCCCAGCAGCTTGCTGCACTCCAATGGGGTAGGGCCCCCAGGAAGGGGCTGTGTGTTCTCAGGATTCTGTCCTTTCTCATGAGCTGACCTTCTGCCTGGAGTCCTTTTCTCTCCACCTTTGCCTCTGCTGAGTACTATTTGTTCTTTAATGATACAGTTTGATTTTCATTCCTCCTTCTCAGATCCCTTTCTTCCTCTACCGTTCTGCCTAGGACGCTCCAAATATGTAGTTGTGTCTAACATAAATCCTTAAAATGTAGTCCAAGAGTCTGCTGTGTGCACTGCTCCAAATAAGCCTTGAGCTCCTGGGGGCAGGACAGTATTTTTCATCACTGTCCCCCAGGGAGCCTGGGTATGGCAGGTGGCTGGCTCCCTGGGGGACAGAGATGCTCAGCAATCTTCCCTTACAGGCGAAATGAGTTGAATTTGAATTTCATTTAGCTACCTACCACTCAGATAGCCATCATTTAATATTTATTAAGCTTCATTAAATGCAAGGTAACGTGCTAAGTACAAGAGATGCAAAAATACCAAGGTGAAGACACCGCGGCGGCCTTGATTAACTGCTGGAGTAGAGGTAAGGACAAGATGCAAAGTCAGTGCAGGAGGCAATTACTTTTTACTGACAGGACATCGAGGGGATGTTTGATTTGGGCCTTAAGAGATGATCAGAATTTCATTATTCTAGAGCCCAGTGAAGCATTCAAGGCCATGGAAGTGAAGGGCAGAAATACATGAACTTAAACTGTCATGAAAGGAACATGTGCTCTTTCTAAAAATTAAAACAACACAAAAGAATTTGAAGTCATTACTCCATAATCCCACACCTCAGAGTGGTATTCTAACATTTTTCTGTATTGATAGATATGTGCATTATCTATACATATATATGTTTACGATTATATACAATTTTTGTTTTTATAAAATTAGATCATACTACACATATTTTCTGCAACTTGGTTTTTGACTTATGCCATAGTCAGCCTTCTATGTTGCTACATTTAAATTGATGCACCTGTAAGCATTATTCCAGCATAGCTAGATGTCCGAGAAATAATTGTGCCTTTCCACAGAATGATCAAAAGAAATGGAATTGATGATTTTCTTGCTCTATTTATACACACAGGCACATGCAGGCACCTGTGAAAAGGAACCACCCATTCTTTCCATTCAGGACTTGAAACAGACAGTGTCAGGTCCACCGAAGGAAGCCGCTGTTTTACCTCTTTTCATTCTAAGTCTGCTTAAAGTAGAACTTTGTTGAGAAAACAGCCAACCAATCAACAAACCAATCAACCAGCCAACCCGAATCCAACCTTGATGTGCACATTTATACGCAAAAGAGCAACTGTTGCCCCTGAGTTCTCATGAAAGTTTCCCGAATGTTAGTCCATGAGAAAATATCTGGATGTG